GTCTGGGATACACAGTAAAAGAATTGATTGAACCTAACCATTATTACTGCTTTCCATCTTCAGGCAAAATTTAAAAGAGATAATACACTAGGTTTTAATGAATTTACTATGATAATTACTACATATGGTCTCCTCCATTGGGCTAATGATATAATTGATTATTTGAGAAAAACAAGGATTTTAAGTTTAATTATGTTTTCTTTGGACTAATTTTCTTGTTTAAAGTAGTTTACACACATCAACATCTCAGGCACTATTAAATTGAGAAGCACCTTCTGCCTATATTAAATTATTAGTGTTTGTCATTTCTAATTTCAATTGCCATTAACTCAGAATGTATTGTGTACAAGTGTAATTAGTCTTTATAAATACATTTCACTCCTAAAACCTGGAAGGCTTTTAAATGTTAACCATAGTTTGTTTTCTGTTTTCATCAAATTTTATTTCCTGATCATCTTATTCATGGTTTGCCTCTCTCTGTAGATGAATTAGAGATGGATTTTGTTGTAAAGTTCCTCGATTCCATGAACTTTCCTTACTAACTTTCATAGTTATATCTTCATGTATTAACATTGCTCCCCATCTCCTGGGTTTTCTTGAAGTAAATGCCAGTAGCAAATTTGCTGCATATAGAAGCTTTTAGCTTTGATTAACTCAACAGACTAAAGTTCCTTAAGGTTTTGGCACTTGAAATGTTATCATATTTCCCCTTATGTAAGTATTGAAGGACATTTAAGTGAAACCTTTTTATCTCAAACACACACATGTGCATATATGTCACATGTATTTACACATAGAATTATCAGCTATACATGATATAATTAACGCAGTTTTACTCCATATTGCATGTCTTGTAAGCAGAATTTCAAATAATGATTTTCAGAGCAAATACATATTAGTGATATGAAGAAATGGTGATTTAATGTTTTTAGTCAGGGTATTGGCCTACAATAATTTGACAGCAAACATAGCTCTTCAATTTTTGAATGGATTTGTCTCTGGATCCATTTCTATTTGTTTTTGGCAGCAATAGGAGATTAATTGATCCAATCTCATTAGAAAATTTCTCCCAGAGAGCATCTTTGAATGCCAAAGGCATAATTTTACAAAATTTACCCTCGTGAAGCTTAAAATGGAGCATTACTGTGATTGTCATTGTTAAGCAAAAGACTAGCCTCGGTTAAGTAGAAGGGAAGCCTTCGCAACATTTTTGCAAAAAAAAAAAAAAAATCCTGTTGATTTCTCTAAATACCCTTTTGATTCTATTATTTAACAAATTAAAAATAATTCTTGAAGGTGTTTTAAGTTAGTATTTCAGCATAATTTTTTTTCTGATAAAAATGGATGCAAAATTTGAACAGCAGATTTTTCACGTATTTCAGCTTTTCTTTCTATAGTACATGAAGGAACAGTTGGCTGGCGAAACAAATAAGCAAGAAAGAACCCAAAAATGAAGAAGTTGTCAATATGTGATTGACCTGGCTTTTCTGATTGCTCCGTTATTTACTTTCTTCTTTTAGGCATTCATCATCGGCAGAGATTAACTAGTCAATCTCAGTGTCATCTAGAAAAATGGAAAAGAGGATCTGTTTGTGCCCCCAAATTCTCTGCTAGTATTACTCTAAATGATGTTATGTTGTTGTGTATAATAATAATTCACATTATACTAGGAAATTTGGAAATGCAGGAAAATACAGAGGAGGTGTACAAACCTCCAGTAATCTTTATAAAAAAGTCATCCCCATCCACAATTGTTGGCATAATTCCTTTTGATTTTTTTCCTCTACAAAATGTATGCATGTGAAACTTTTAACATATAAAATCATTGTTACATAGTTGATAGAGTTTTTTTAAGTTAATATCTTGAAATATTGTAAAAATTGGCATTTGCACAAACATTTGACCATGCTCCTATATGCTATCTAAAAGCTTGGTTTAAAAATAAGGGGTTCAATATCATGACATCGCTCTCATAAATTTTATTTATCCTACTCCAATGGAAGGAAATCACTATTGCTAGACATAGATTGCTTTCTGTAGATGAGACCTTGAATGGGGTACTTGATGGAAAAAAGAAGAGAAATGAATGTGTCTAAAATGTGCTCTGAGTAAGAATCAGTACAAGAATCACCTGAACAGGAAAAGTAATAAATACACTGTTCAGAACTCATGAGAGAGAGACTAAGACTGTATCAAGGGAAAGTGAAATCATAATGAAAGATACCTATGTTTATATCACAACTCACTTTGTTTGTATTAATTTCTAAACAGTTTGGTGAAGTCAGATGAACTTAATGAACTTAGTGAGCCTATTTATGGGTGTTCATTAAGAGAGCAATAAATGTGGAAGACAATGTACATGTCTTTTAGGATCTCAGAAGCCAGCTGCAGATCCAGAGGGAACACTTCCCAAATTAAAAGCAGTCTGCAATTTAGTGAAAACCAGTTATTACCAGGACCATAAAGTCAAGATTTGAAAACCTTCAAGGAATATGAAATTCAAAGCATGCTCAGAGGCTTCGAGGATATCGGGATTCATGCCTGTGATTCCCCTTGTCTCATTCAAGAGAGCCTCACTCGTGTTCCCAAAGGACCTTTCACTCCGCCTGTACTGCTCTACTTTCTAGTCAATTCATAACTCTATCATAACTCTGCTTTTTATGGTATTTTGTATGCTTCAGTGTGGCACAATTTAGGCTTGTCCATGTGTTATTAGATGTATCCTATCTGCAGAATTAGACATTCATTAATAAATAGCCAAGACAGAAAGTTCACTCTCTTTCCTACACTGTTTTGTCCTTTATGCTAGCAGTATTTGTTGACTACTTTTTCAAGACTCTGGATTGTAATCTGCTACCATTTCCATTTTTTTCTCTTAAATAAGCTAATTTATTAAATAGCACTGAAATATACTTTTAAAGTCTATCACTAAAATGTGACAAATGCCTTAATGAAAAGATTACATTAGTGTGAGGTATGATCATAAAACACAGTGACTGCTTAAATTTTAAAAATGAAAAGAAAAGGCACATTGCCATTAATCCCACTCAGAATACTCCCTCTTACTTTGAACACACTTATCCCATTGATCTTGCCACTTTTTTTTTTTTTTTAATTTTAAAGACAATAAAACCAAAGTACAGCAGAATCAAGCAAATCAAAACAAGACAATGATACCGGACTTCAAAACAAGATAATAGGAAATCAACAATGGCTACCACAATCCCATTTCCATTTGTTTAGTGGAGATAAATATTGAACAACCAGCTGCAAAATTATATGTTCAATAACAAGAAATGTAGAGAAAATATAGAGAGTGATACTGTGATCACTTATTAAAGAGAAATAACTTGGATAAAGAATGAAGGAATCTACAATATACTTCCATATTATTGGGTTGAATTCTGAATGCTTTGTCTTTCTGACACAGAGTCCCATTAACACAGTTCAGGCCTGCCTTGAGCTCACCTTGTAGCCCAGGCTGGTCTTGAACTTGCAGCCGTTCTCTTACCTGAGCCTCCCAAGTGCTGGGATTGCAGTCATGAGCCACCATGACCAGCTTTGAATGCTTTTTTCTGTACTGGAGGTCAAACTCGAGACTTTGTGCTTACCAGGCAGATGTTTATGCTGCTGAGCTAAATCTCCAGCCCAAAATGCTTTTAAAATTAAAAACAAAAATGTTTAACTGTACTTTATATTTATTTCAAAATCTGTCTCAAAAATATAAAACAAATGATGGCTTTTATTAAAATATGCTTAATAAAATGTTTATATTTTCAAACTATTTTTTAAGAAATAATATGCTAAGAATTTAAACTAATAATTTTATGGTCTCATATTTACTATATTTTCGTTTATGTTGAAAAATAAATTCTTAATGTAAAGCTAATAGAAATATTTAGAAATACATTATCTTCCTTTCAGAAAAAATTTAAAGATAACATTTTTTGCAACTCAAATAAACTAACATTTTTATAGTATCTTTGGAGTAAAATATTGTATTTTTATATTTTATGTATAGTGAGTAAATAATTATATTTTATGCTGTATATACGATAAGTAAATGAAAATATTCTTTACTAATGAAAAAAGGTTTATTTATAAACAAAGAGGAAAGTGAGCAATAGAATAATTTATAAATATTTATTATTTATAGATAATTTATTAATCCATTTTGCTAAGAATGTTTCACTGATTTTTGTTTTCTTTCTTTCTTTCTTTCTTTCTTTCTTTCTTTCTTTCTTTCTTTCCTTCCTTCCTTCCTTCCTTCCTTTCTTTCTTTCTCTTCCTTCCCTCCTTTCTTTTCTTTCTTTCTTTCTTTCTTTCTTTCTTTCTTTCTTTCTTTCTCTCTCTCTCTCTCTTTCTTTCTTTCTTTCTTTCTTTCTTTTTTTCTTTCTTTCTTTCTTTCTCTCATCTTTTGTTGAGGATAAAGCTCCCAGGAACCCAGGTCCTTATGTGTGTTAAGCCAGAGCTGTATTACAGAGCTATGCTTCCTGTGATTTTTAAAAATAATTTTCTTATTCTTCTTTATTTGTTGAAGAAAGAAACTTATACCATGTTGCCTGGCTGGCCTCATACTCTTGGGTTGAAACAGTTAGTCTGCCTTGGACTCCTGAGTATCTGGGAGTACAGGTCTATAGCACCATTCCTGGCTTTATTCACATAATAAATTTTATTTTTGTTTTTGGTTAGGGATTTTCTTCCTAGGATTGTCTATTTTTATTACTTAGTAGAAGACAGTTATACCTGGAGTAAAACAAAATAATAATTTGGTATAATCACAAGGCTACTTATTATTGGTGCTGTAAAAGTTCAAAATGTAAAGTTTTCTAATGGAATTGTGATCATTTTTAAGTAGTCGTCTTTGCAGAAAGTTATCAGTGTATCAATATAAAATATAGTTTGATATGATACAACTATCCAATTTGTGAAATGTAATATACATATTTTAAGTATTACTTATTTTAGTTACTTAAATTACTATTTTAAAATACTCTTAGCAATTGGTTTGGATTCTTGTCCTGAGCCACAAACTCCTAGCAGTGGAATTAAAATTGGAGACAGATACATGGTTGGTGACGTGGTATCCTTCCAGTGTGATCAAGGCTATTCTCTTCAGGTATGTCTGTTTTACTATTATACCTTTTTTCATTATGTTTTTAGAACATTTTAACAGGTTAATGATTTATCTTTCGTGGACATTTCAAAATCTTCATCCAAATTACTTAGGATTTTCTCTATCCAATCAGTAGACAATTAAGGTCAAAAATCACAGTATGGATCCTCTTCTGAAGGACATTTTTTTTTTGAAGGTCTGATGTATAAAGTCTTATCAAAATGTACCTCAAATTAGATCCTCTATGAAGTTATTCAAATAGAATTGGAAGAAATTGCTTCACATGTGAATACAGTCTTTAGTAGTTGGGGAGCCTGTACTTTCAGTCTCTGCACTCTGGGAGGCTGAGGCAAAAGGATTACAAGTTTGAGTCTAGCCTGGGAAATTTAGGAATTTAGCAAGACCTTGCCTTAAAACAAATAATAAAAGAGCAGTGGGGAGGTAGCTCAGTGAGAAATCCCTGTGTTTAGTGCTCAGACTAAAGCAAAATAAAAAAATTAATAATCTATAGTTAAGTTTAAATTGAAGTGCAGTTTTTAAGCCTCATATTTCAATACTTTGACCCATTTTAGTGTTTTTAAAAAGAATTTTGCACTCATTTCTTAACTTCTCTCACTTGAATATTGTGGACTTTTGTTACTAATTACTATGTAAATGCTTGCACTTGTAGATTCACTGCAGTAACTTAGTAGAACATTTTGATAGAAAAATATTAAAACCACAATTCTAATGTGATACATAGCTTCATTTTTCTACAATGACTCTGCAGCTTATTTTTATATTTTATTGTAAGTACATATAATTACCTTTCTTATTTCACATTATATAAAGATTTCCAAGAAAAAGTAAAAGTGACAATACAGAGTTTACCAAAAAATATACATCAGGAAAACAAAAAATTGTATAAATATTTTAACAGTAAACTTACTGAGCTATCATGATATTAATGCAAGTTAATGTAAGCCTCTGTAATTACAAGTGGTGCTCAAAATGGTGGCCGTTGGCTTCCAGACATTGACTAGTATGGCAAACTAAGGAAGTATGCACACATCATCTTATTTTCTTTCTTTCTTTTTTTTCTTTTTTTTTTTTTTTTTGTCTTTTTCATTTTTTATCGGTACCAGGGATCAAACTCACGACCGCCTGCTTGCAAGGCAGGTGCTTATGCCGCTGAGCTAAACCCCCAGCCCCCATCTTATTTTCATAATAATTGTTCAACATGTTACATCCAATTTAGACTTTTTATAAATGTGTACTGAATTGTGTTGTCTTCTTCATGTAGGGCCATTCTCATATTACATGTATGCCTGGACCAGTAAGAAGATGGAACTATCCCATTCCTATTTGTTTGGGTAAGTTGAAAGACTGTAAATTTCATATATATATATATGTATATATATACATATATATATATATGAAATCATATAAACATATAAATATATATTTATGTATGTATCACATATATTTATAAATTATATACATATAAATATATTTATATATATTTAAATTATAGATATATAAATTTATATATAATTTCATATATAACATTTTATAAAAGTTGTAGGCAATATATATATATAATTTAGGAATCTGAAGAATCTAACAAAGAGTGAACCCTATGAGATGTCTTCAGTGGTGACAGACAGTTGAGATATTTCATATGTCAAAAGATAACATGGATACTTTGAAATTATATAACCAAATGTACATTCTTCAACTAATGGTAATTCCAAATTGTTTTTATCTACACTCTTAAGTTTTTCTTTTCCTCATCTTTGGTACCTATGCAACCAATAATGTATTTGGTTCTGCAGAGTGTGAAAAAGAAATGTGAGGTATCATTCCCATCTTTAAATCATTCATTACGGAGTAGAAATAAAAGAAGTATCATAAAATAATTTAGTGTAAAGCTATGCCATTGACTACATTGTGGAATTTTAGAAGTGAGAATGTTGTGAAGTGAGGTCATTGCAAGCCTAGTCGGCCGGTGTTTATAAACAACTTGGGTAACTGCATATCATTAAGATATACAGAAGGAAAAGCTCTTTCTAGGGAAGAAAACTGCACAAGCTAGTTAGCAAGACTCGTGTGCCTGCCTGCTGTACGGTGACCCTACTTGTGGTCTGTTTGAGTGCCACGACGTCATACTCCAGGTGGTGGCCTAAGCCGTGAAAACTGATGCTCTCACATTCTGAAAGTGCCACACCCCAAAACAGCTGCATGTGCACTTCCCAGTGATTTTTCCTACTGTAATAGGATTATTTGGGGAGCCTGGAATGGAGCTCAAAGGCCCAGTGCCTGCCTGGCAAGTTCAAGGTCATGTGTTTGAGTCCCAGTAGATTATTTCATTAGAATTAGTGCCCACCCTTGTGACTTCACTCTACCTTACTAACCTCTTTAAGGCCCTATTACGAGGTACAGTTATACTACAGATTAGTATTTCAATGTAGGATCATCTTTTCAGAGGGGACACAATTCTCAATAGAAAATATATTTAAAACTCAAAATGTGTTTAAAAGGCAAACTATATTGGAAGCACGCAAACTTTAGAATGAATGATATTTATTGCAGGAAATATTTTTAGGTACTGTAGGTAATTTATAACAGTGTATTTTGTCAATTTAAATGTATAAACATATAATGGCTACAGGACAATTTTGTAAGTGAACAATGTCAATTATAAATATAAGCATACTGCATGTTTTGAATACACATAATTAAGCATAAAAACTGATAAGAATAAAGAAAAAACTATGTAATATGCTCATTCTGCAGATAAGACAGAGGGAAGTTTAGTATTTTTCCATTGTTATGTCCCAATGGATAGGGCAGTTTCCTTTTAAAATAGAGGTCTCCTGAATGCTGTGTAATGAGCTAATGGAATGATTAGGAATTCCATAACATAACTTCATAATATTTATCCTCTTAACATTAATTTATAAGAGTTTCCCATGCCATATTATTTTCAAAATTTGATATTTAAAATGGGTTCATGGTGCCTATTATTGTCTAATTTATAAAACATTGTCCTTTTTGTTATTTTTTACCTTTTGATATAAATAACATACTTATAATTTTTTTTTTACCTGCCTTTGTGTATAACTAATCATTTGCTTAAAATTTTGCCTAAGTAGGCCTGGGGAAGCAATTCGGCACTGCATACTATTAGGCTTTGGATTTGGTTTCTCGGCCTGCGGGAAAGAAATTACCTAGATAGATTAATTTTAGCATTAGATAGAACCGTTTTGTCATATAGATATAAAAGTCTTGTTGACCATTATTAAATTGCTTTCAGAAGGCACACCATCTTAAAAACCTTCCAATGATTATACAATTGTAATCCTACTCTATAAGTAATTTTGATTATTATTATTTAAAAGTTTCTAATACTTAGATGGATTAAATACTAGCACATTTTGCAAAAAAAGTCTGCATTTTATTGTGTATTTTAGCAAGCAAATAATAGATGGAAGTGATATTTAATAGTTACTTTTATTCTGTAGGCTACATTCGTATGAACTTATTTAGCACTAATCAGACTTTGTATTCAACAATATTATATTCAAATTTCAGCTTAAGGTAAAATTGCTACATGATATGTTATTCTTTAAGCTGCTGTGTATTCACCAAGATAAAGACATTGGCCTCCCAGGTTTATTGTGAGAATCAAATTGAAAGAGCCTGTTTCAAGTGTTTAATACTGAACTTGGATTACACAAGGTTTTTGTAGTGGCAGCTATTAAAGTGAAACATAGGCAATTACTTCAGGATCTAATAATAGGGAATAGACTTTTACAATGGGAAATAAACAGTATAATGGAATATTTAAAGACAAGAGAAAAATTATAGTACATAACTAAATATAAGGTGGCTTAACACTGTTCACAGTAAGACTGTATTTTCATTATACACACAGAGAGACAAGCACAAATACTTACATAGAGAAAATATAAGGTAAAGGTAAAATAATTTTCTGTGGGGGCTTGAATTAGAGGGCATTTTCCCTTCCAAAGATCTTTTTGTGTGTTTTATGGATTTTGAACAATAGGCTCTTATTCCATTTGTAGGAAAATTAAACATTTTGGAGTAATACTGTGGTCATATTGCAGGGGATATAGAAGGCAGGAGGTGGATTCAGAGAATGCGTTAAAACCCTAGTCATCAAGTAACAAGGTTACGGAGTTGTGAACTGGAAAATAAGCAATCTGTCAAGGTTTTGTTAGAAGGACCGAAAATTCATATGGGATTTTAGATATTGGAGATGAACAAGGAGGAAAATTTCAAGATGACTTCATCTTGGAGGACTAGCTTATGATCAGATTCCTAACAAAAAGTGTGTGAATAAGGCACACAAGAAAGCACTTGGACCTCACAGGTGACACACAAAGAATTGCATTCCAGGAATAAGGTCTCTGTGAGTCTGCAGACACCGAGGAAACAAAAGTGAACCCGAAAGAGAAGGCAGAAGCACTTTTTAGTATCATTTATGCATTTATCATCAGCTGTCATTCTTTTTTTTTCTCTCTTTGTTCCCTGTTTACTCCGAAGTTTTTGCGTCTTCATTCTGTGATTTAGGGATTTCATTTGGGATGGGGTGGGTGAAGCATCGAGTAGTATCTTCAGTTCATGTGAAAGACAGAAGTAGCAGAAGGAGAAGGAAAAAGAGCAGCTCAGAGATGTGGAATTGTGAAGACAAGAAATAAAAACCTAGTCTTTGTCTTGTACCCAAATTTCAGAACACAACTAAAATAAACTTGTAAACGCAGTCTTGCAAAAAACTTAAAAATATATTTTGTTGACGTAATTATTTATTAAGTTTTATATTGAATATATGTGGAAAATGGAATTTTAGGAATATAATTGGTGAACTTTAATAGTACTGACATTCTTATGTTAAGGATAGATGAGCTGAAGTTTCAGAGAATGGAGATATGGTATATAAGTGTACATTTAGCACTTGCTAGCCATCACAGATTTGAAAGAAATGTCCATATGCATATCGATTACAATATTATGTCAATGTTTTATATATGTAACTATTATTAAAATTTATTTGAGACATGATTTATTCATTTCTCACTGTAAATGACAGAAATCAAACTGGTTATGACATATTGTGTAGGACACTGATAAGCTTCCGATTGAATTTATCTTTGAGACCCATAACTTAAAATTTCCTTACCTATGTGCTACTATTCATAAGAAGAAACAGAGTATTATTAAAACAAAATAAATAACTGAAATTGCATATAAGTGTTCTATACAGAAAAAGTTTAACCTTGACACCATTATGAAATTTGATGGTTAATCCAATAACAGACACACATCTATAGTTCTGTGTAATGAAATGAAAAAAAATATATTTGGGGCAAAGAATGACCCAAGATACAGTTGTTCTTTAATACATACCAAGTGTTTAATGTGAAAAACTAAAATCTGTAACTTTCTGTTCTTAAATACTTTGCTTAGTTTATCCATGTATAACCTGTATCACAGAGATTCCAGAAGGCACGTTTGTAATTCCACTTAAGTTTTCAGTATGTGTGCATCCCTTTACTTTTTATATTTCTCTGTTCTTTTACAGCAAAATGAAGCCATATCTCATACATAACATGTAAAATGTTTCCCTATTATCATGCAGCTCACTAAAACCGATGCTTTTTCTTCAAGTTCTTTATTGAGCCTCCTTACAAAAGGAGGAAGACAAGGAAAGTTGTGAAAATGGTTCCCTCTGGATGTGGTACTCAGAGCTCAAGTAGTTGGCTTGACTTTGTTCTAAATTACATCACTTTTAGAATAACTCAAAACACTATTAGAAGTATGTTCTGTCAAGAAATAAATCACCCACTGTATAAAAGGACATGTTCTCTTTGATCGTATTCACTGCATGTGAGCTGTTCCTTGCTGTGCAATAATTTATTTTTTAGACTGAAGTTTTTTTTCTGAGGACTTGTGATGTCTTTTGTGTTATTTTAGAAAACGCATTGCCAACCAATTATACTTCATTACTAGTGTATGGCAAATGAATGTGACAATATTCACATTTATGTAAAATTCTTGTAACTCAGAGACTTATTACAATTTGTTTTTGGTACCATGTATGGAACTCAGGCCCTTATGCTTGCCAGGCAGGCCCTGTGCCCTGATATGTCTCAGCCTACTTGTGTTACAAATTTAAAGTGATTTTTAATTTTTTTTTTAACAAGTGAAATGACTCCACTACTGTGGCTTACAAGGGATTGTGTTGTTTTGCAGCCCAGTGTGGTGGCTCCATGTCAGATTTCAGCGGTGTGATCCTCAGCCCCGGTTTTCCTGGAAACTACCCCAGCAGCTTAGACTGCACGTGGACAATAAAGCTGCCCATCGGCTTCGGTACGTATGTCATAAACATCGGAAAGAACACTCAGCATTTAGTGAGGCATTCTGAAAAAATATCAGCGTCCCCTAAAAAGTTAACAAAATGCTTGAAAGTACAAGTTAGTTCGGAGGTGCATAGAGTTATCTAAGTTGAATAACAAACTTTGAGTAATTTTTCTAAACTTAAACTTCAGGATCCAGGTTTAATTGCAGGGCTGGCACTTTGAGATAAGGGGGTTTTGTGTTGCAGATTAGCCACTGGGTCTCAACGTTTCGCCATCAGTGATATGGACCATACTTTTGTCTATTGATAGACTCTTAGATTGTTCCCTGACTGGACTGTTCTAAATAATGTTGCAATGAATGCAAGAGTACTCTTATCTCTTTAATTAAACTGATCTCATTTTCTTTGGATGTATCTCATTTTGACATTGCTAGAATGTATTGAAGATGCATCTGGAAACAGCTTTGTTAGATATGTATAATAATACCAAATGAACACAAATTTCATGTATAATTGCTTTTCTTTTCTTTTTTTGGTACCAAGATGGAACTCACAACCTTATGCTTACAACACTGGGCTAAATCCCTGACCCCTATAATTACTTGTTTATCTCTTTCTCATCAACATGAGCAAGTAGTACATAAATTATTTTTAGTAATCTATTTAACTCATCTTGTTTTCTTCATAAAGAGATCACTTTTACATTTGCAAAATAGTACATATTTTCTAGTGCTAGATTTAAATACCCATACAGATACACTACATTTCTAATCTAATAATACAACTTCCTATATGTTCATCTATTACTGTTGCACTTGATAAATTCTTCTCATTCTTATATGACTAAAATCTTAACAGCTTTTTCAGATCATGTGAGTTGATCCATGCCTATCAAAATGTGCTAGATTAAGGGCAGATTTTTGTTAAGTCTCACAAGTCTGATATGCAGATACAATCTGAAAAAGCTTAGCACAGCTTATCATCCTGAGTAGACAGCAAACTCATGGCCCAGAACTTGACAGTGTATTTCTGACCACTGTGGAAGCATATCTAAGTGCAATAATGTGTGTATGTGTGTGTGTGTGTGTGTGTGTGTGTGTGTGTGTGCGCGCGCGTATGCGCGTGTGCATGCTTGTGTAATTTAGTAAAAGGTAGAGTATGATGAAATTGCTTTTTTCTCTTCCAGGTGTACATCTCCAGTTTGTAAATTTTTCTACAGAAACGATACACGATTACTTGGAAGTAAGAAGTGGGTCATCAGAAATGAGTACCGTGATTGGTCGGCTCAGTGGTCCTCAAATACCGTCTTCCTTGTTCAGCACAACCCATGAGACCAGCTTGTATTTTCACAGTGACTACTCACAAAACAAGCAGGGATTTCACATTGTGTATCAAGGTAAGAGAATGCTTAGAAGTGGACATGCATTTCACCTCCAAGTGCTATCAGAAATCTTTCACTATGTAGAAGTATTTTCTGTATTTTCTCTTAAAAGAGGAAATCCTTACAAGTTTCAGTGAAGAGTATTTTTCCCCAACTCACATGTGACTCCTTAAGGAAAACAATATTTTCTGAAACTTTAAAAGAACCTAACTATGAAGAGAAGATTGAATTAGTCCTAAATCAGTACAGAAATTAAACAGGGAAGGGTAATTAGCAAAGCAAACTGGAGACAAAGATTCATCTTTGGTTTATATCAAGTTGAATATTCAAAAGATATTTTATGTATTAATGTCATATTGCATGGGAAATTATTTTCTTTTACTCCATGAGATCGTAGTGATTTTCCATGATGTTGGTCCATTGCCATGAAAACAGGAAGCAGAAATTACTTGGATAATGATATATCAGACTCAACCCACACGAAACTGCTGCATGACACTGATTGAGAGTTATATCCCATTTTACCTCAGGTTCTGGACTGAGGCAGAGGGAGGCTCTGGTGCTGATTCCCCCAGATCGGCCTTCTGTGGCCTAGGACCTGGCCGCCATTCTATCATTAGCATGATTCTACCTAGACAAAATCCATGTGATATGGGCACTATGATTTTATACAACTTGCAAATAATCACTGAAGTTTAGTTGTTCCTATTATGATATTTCTGATTTTAAAAGTTCTATTGAAATTCAATTATAAAAACTATTCTACGGGGCTGGGGATTTAACTCAGCGGCATAAGTGCCTGCCTTACAAGCAAGCAGTCGTGAGTTCGATCCCTGGTACCGGTAAAAACGAAAAAGACAAAAACAAAACAAAACAAAACAAAACAAAACAAAAAAAAACTATTCTATGAAGTATGGTTACATTCACAAAAATAAATCAAAATAACTTGAAATTTTGTTCCATCTACTTAATTATTAAAGGACTTCCTGGTAGGTGGTAATTTGGCTGTGAGGTCCCCGAGTGAGGCCATTTTGTCATTCACTGCTGTCTGTTAAGTGCTGAGAAGAATGAGAACCCCACATCTCATCCATAAACTAGAAGTAGCCTCTGCTGGCTGTCGCCATAAAGTTATCCGTACCCTTGAGGAAATTATCTCCAAAACAAATGAGTAACTCAGTGTCTGTCTTTTTGCATCTAGACACCTCAGAACCATTGTGTGGGACTCCTAAAAATGTAGCAGCCTATGCCATACTCCTTAAAATTCACCATTAACCTGGGTCCACTTCCTTCTTCCCATCCTCATTTCCCCTCAGAATAATGTTATTCGAAGGCTGTCAGACATTTTTCTTGCTGTGCTCTTTGAAAAATGAGTCATGATTGACAGAACAAGTGTACAAAAGATCTAAAAGTTTTTGTATTATTCCTGACAATATTGTTGACGTGGACCATCATGTAGGCCAATGATGACCAGATAGCATTTGTGAATCACACTGAATTTTGAAGCTTTCCTTTCTATAAACCATATATAAGTAAACCTCTGTCAAGTGTTTACTTGACAACCATGAATCAATGGCACTTTAAAGAAACTGAGTAAGTTATGTAGATCCATAGAGTCCACATTATTTTTGTATTTTTTTTCATAACAGCATGTAGTTACACAATATATGTAAACCCTTACACTGAAAAACATGGTGATAACATTATTAGATTTGTTCGTTCTTGGGAACCTTTCTCTCGTACATTTGAAATTTACTGTCTATAATTCCTTGTTAAGCTAAATAGAATGGAAACTAGACCACGGTCAAATATTTCCTAATGTCACACATTTCTGTGTGATCCTTTCCTGTTCCCAATTATCTATTAAGTGTGAGTGACACTTGACAGAGGTTTACTTAATAAAGTAATACATTCCTACTCCTGATGATCAGTAATACACATTTGCTTACAGTTGGGTTGAGAATTGTCTTTGATTTCACATTTTTTTTTTTTTGGTGTGTGTGTATAAAGTATTAACTAAACTAAAGAGAGAGGTTAAGAAAGCACATAATAATTTTCTTTAAAATTGTCTAAAATACTTGGGTGCAAAAGTTCAGGTGGTATTTTAACACAAAACAAGGTGAGATATTCAACTTCTAGTGCAGGGCTTTTTTTTTAATGTTGAGGAATAGAGAATTTTAATGATATGTAGCAAAATAATCTGTCAATTAGAATATAAGAAAGATGTCTTATTGATAGTGTTTGAAATGTTTATATTATTTGAGCATATACTTTACTCATAAATTCAGAATTCATTCAGCAGTGTTTATTTAGAACTTATTAAGAGTAACAGTGGATAAGGCTTTGAGATACAATGGCAAATAAAACACGTATACCCTTTACCTCATTCATAATATTAAACAAGAGCATAAAGACCTCTCTCTCTCTCTTTCTGTCCATATATATATATAGTATATGGTGCCAGCAATGTCAGAATAATTGAAGTACAGAATTTATTTTTTTAAATTTATTTTCTGTTAATTAGAAAGAAGTTTTTCTACTACTTTTTTATTTTTTATTAAATGAATGCTTCAGACAACTTTATAGGAAGTATACTGTGGTTCGTTTTTTTTTAGAGAAAAAATATTTAAAAAATTAAAAAGGCTCAGAATGAGGCTTATACAGGCAGTTATTTTATCCTGTGAACCTGCAACATAATGAAAAAGCAATTGCATTCTATTGAAGAGAGTGACAGTATGATTACATTGTGACTGTAAGATGAGTTTACATTTTGTTCAGGTTTCAAACTCAGGTAAGTTGCACAAGTGCATGAAGAAACTGATGCATTCTTATAAGCTGTATTAGCATTTCAATTATAAGCATTGTAGGCATGAAAAGTTTGTATCACACCATCAAGAGTATTTATCATAAACCTCAATTATTATTTATAACTAAACTCAAGGATTGTCACATCAATTCATAAGCTACAAATAGCATCCAACTGTGGTGTCTGAAACTTAAAAAATAAAATGTCTCGGACTTTTTTTCTAGCCTATCAGTTACAAAGCTGTCCCGATCCACGTCCATTTCGAAATGGTTTCGTAATTGGTAGTGATTTTACTGTGGGCCAGACCATTTCATTCGAATGCTTCCCAGGATACACACTGATTGGGAACTCAGCTCTCACATGCCTTCATGGAGTCAGTCGTAACTGGAATCATCCACTTCCAAGGTGTGAAGGTATGCTTCTACACTGAAGCTGTCTTCTTGGTGATGTCTTTCATGTTTAACCATTCCTTTGTTGACTTCCTTCCTTGTCTTCCTCTTCCCATAGCATGCTAACTATGAACATAGAATATGCACATTTATCTCTGAATTGAATTATTAAAACAAAAGGTAAAGCTAGCATCTGTGTATTGAATAACTTACTTTATCACTACCGGCAGTAGTCCTGGCTTTCCCCATTGGTAGTGAACATAAATGTGTGTACATATACATAATATGTACATGCATGTGTACATATATACGTGACAGAAGAAAAAAATAAACAATGTTTGCATTGATATAATGTATTTAAAACAGAGAAGACAAGATAACTTAGCTGCCTTGTGATCATTAATAATAGAGAAGTAGCACAACTTACAGAGAAAAATACATTAAAGACCATTTTGCTCATTTTTATCAGCTGCATTTTATATACTTCAAACTGACATAAATATGCAACATGGATGCATTTTATAACACTTAAGAGTATGACATGTTTTCTTTTTCAATATCTTCAATTATTGTTATTATTTTTGGCATTTTTATTTTGTTTCTTTTTCCATAGCTCTGTGTGGTGGAAATATAACTGCTATGAATGGCACTATTTATTCTCCTGGGTATCCTGATGAATATCCAAACTTTCAGGATTGCTTTTGGCTTGTAAGAGTACCTCCGGGAAATGGAATCTACATCAATTTTACTGTCCTTCAAACAGAACCTATCTATGATTTCATCACAGTATGGTAAGCTAGGATCATTGTTATTGATTGATTGAACTATATATCAAGTAGGAATGAAAATATATCACCATCCTCTGCTACAAATTGCCATCTGCCATTTGAACTGGTGTAATAGAGGGTGTGACATATGAGTTTAGCAGAATGAGACAAATAGGATAAATAGATTTTGGCTGATTGCCACATGAAATAACTATCCTTTGTAAGAAAGAAAACTTCATAAGAGAGAAAATTATTTAAAGTTTTTAACAGTATGCTCAAATAACCAATTAATAGAATAAATTAAGGAAATTAGCTAGCTTCTAAAACTGGTGAACTTTAAGAGCCTGTATTCCAATTATACTAATTTAACTATTGAATTCTGTCATAATAATTCATTGTGAAATAGTGTGATCCTATTGTAAATTAATTAAAACATATTCATTTAAAAATATAAAAATACCTCTGAATTGTCATTGACAATTAGACAACAGAACCACTATCTGATTTCTCTCGGCCCTTCTAATTTTAGCAATATATGATTCTCAAGTATGTTGTGAGGAAAATAAAACGAGAGCAAGCCTGAAACAATTTAGAGAATCTGATCTTTGGTTAGAAATAAAAAGACAGTGTGCTGCTTACAGTGAATATGGATGCTTTTCATTTAGGCATAGATGTGATTTATTTTCTTAGTTTGCATTTTAAAATGCATTATCACCTATATAAAGGTGTCACAAAATACACTAGTATGATTTGTCACTCACTGTAATTTTATTCACTGTGTTATTATTATTATTAACATTATAACATAAGTATGTTCAATCTTTTCTTTAAACTTGGTGCAGAATTTTCCATGGATTATCCTCAATCTTTCCTCTTTCATCACACCAGGGATGGACCAGACCAAAACTCACCTCAGATTGGCCAGTTCAGTGGCAATACTGCTTTGGAATCAGTCTACAGCACTTCAAATCAGATTCTCATAAAATTCCACAGCGACTTCACAACGAGTGGCTTTTTTGTGCTCAGTTATCACGGTTGGTATTAGCTAAGTGCTTTTATTCCAATGAATACAGTTTAAATTGTTCTGGAACTCATGAATGTAGTATATATTTAACCAGTGATTGAAAGGTATTAAAAATTGACATATTTATCATCGCTGTAAATTTAGCATTTCAAGTACATTCACTTGCAAGAAATGACCTTTTCTTAATACCTTAAGAACATTAAAATGTGAGGAAATGCATATAAGAAATAAATCCATCAGTAATTACTGAGTGGAAAATAATCATTTTGCATGGAAACCAATAACACAGAACCAGCTGTTCATGTTTTATTGCATATAATTTGGAGAAGTCTAGATTTTTCTGTACAAAACCTTAAATCTATTCAACCTGCTGTGAGTCCTTCTAAAATTTGAATCCAGCGTCTGTATGCTTTGCATCACTTTACTTACTCATTTGTATTCTTGTATAGAAACTATCTAATTAAGAATCTTAGCTTTTTAAAGTGACTTTCAAATCATTAACTTCAAGACTTTTATTCCAGCAAAATGATTTATAGAGTCTCAGTTTTATTTGTTCTTGGTCATATCTTCATAATATTAAATCTTTGAAAGAACATTCAGAGGGTTTTTCAGACCTGTTTCTTTAACCCCACATTGATTTTATTCCCTTATAATTAAGAAAATGTTTATTTCTAATGACTACATCTTTTTCTTTTTATGATCTATTTCATAAAAATTCATTCTACCTTCTGAGGAGGAAGAAATTTTATACCAATAACATGAACATTTCCTGAATAATTTACTAAATTCAGTTTGCACAAAAGTATGAAAATTTGAGAATGAACTTGTGCTTTGTCCATTATAGTAGCATATAACTAGATCTTTGTAAGAGAAAGTAATAACATATTTGAAGCTCAAGTCTTATGTTCCAAGAAAAATATGGTGTGTCAAATATGATTATGTTCAAAGATATTTAAAGCACATTAGAAATACAAAATTGACTATAAATATGTGAGTTGTTTAATCTGAGTACATATCAGCCAGTGTGATGGTATGTAATTAGTATCCCTAGTGCTAAGTGTTCACTACATCACAGCTAATTAGACAGTGGAGTGTTCAGTTAGACAACTTTTTGGAGAATTTATTTCTTAATAACTTCTTTTGCTGTCTTAGAGATGATCATTGAACCTGAAAGTCTGTAGATGTACTTTATGTCTCTGATAATAGCATTATTACTTTGATAGACAATCATAATTCCAGAAACAATAAGGATAAGATGAAAAATAAATTCATTGATGAACTGTAACATGTATTCTTTTTACTATCATGGATCTCTGCTTAATTTTTTGTATCACTGTGTGTCCTGTCTGTAGAAGCTATAAGAAGATACTGTTCATAAAAACCTGTAAGTCAATATTATCAACAGTATAACATTCGTATAAAATTTAGGAACCATTTCAAAGCAAAAGTATTATCAAGGGAAAAGTTGCCAACATATGTGTGTGTGTGTTTATACAGAGAACATGTGGAAGACAATGTATGCATATATGCACACAAATATGAATGCATATTTATGAATACATAGAGATATGTGAATGTATCCATACATCACTATTCTAAAATGAGTTTCACTTGACTTTGGAACTTGGCTGTTAGTCATGTGTCACAGAGATACAATAGTTAGTAAGAAGACAGATGCAGGGTTTGTGTAGCACTTTTCCCGTTGACTGTGGACAAGTCATCTTTTGGTCTCCACTTTGCTCTGCTGTAAAGTAGCACAGGACCGCTGAGAGGATGCAGTTTTCTTTACTACTGGCATGTATCATGTTAAGCCATATGAAATCACTGGTCAGGAAATGCTGAGTCTTAGCAAGTTGTAAAGCTAACCCCCCAAAGTACTATAATTTTTATTATTACAAGCATCGCGTTGAAGAGATTTTATGAAAAGCAGAGTCAATACACAATGCTCAGTTAGCGTGGTGTGTGGCAGAGCAGTTGTCTGGGAATCGTTGTTTCCTTATCACACCCTACATCACCTTTTATAATTTTCTACTGTTGCTTTTTGGTTTTACATTACATTTCATAAAAACACACAACTGCCAGAGGCTCCTGAAGCCTAACGCTTGAATTGAGATCTCTAGAAAACTTATCCAAACTTTAACATAACCTTGAAATTTGGCCATGTAGCCATGGCTCCTGTTAAAAATTGACTGATACTCTGATTTCTTTTAGCACTGTTTATCTTTCCTAGAATGCATAATAGTTGCATTACATCTCATGTAAAGTTCCTTTATTATGAAGTTCTTTCAATCTTACATCCTAGTTCTTCAGAATAGCTCACTTAATGGTGGAGTAAGGTCAAATCATTTTGCGTTTTCTAACAGGCAATTTAGATGGATTACAATGCAATATTTAGCACCTGGAGTCCATTGAGTACACCTAAACTTACAATTTATTTTTTGTTTTCTTTCAATTCTCTTATTCACTCATTTATTTCTTTTTTTATGTCCTCTTCTGTAAATCAAAAGCGCTTCTCTCAGGATTTGTGGTTATTTGAAACTTGACCCTTCAATCTTTTTATGTATTTTCAGGTCACATTGATCATTTAGCTTTTCCTTATTGATATATACTATGTTTGAAAGAAATATGTGGCTTTTTTTTTCCTGTAGTCTGACTTACTTCCATTATGTGATCCAAAATGCCACCTGTCTTTTATGAAACATCGTCTTCATAAAGTCTTTCATGATCAAAAATAGCGTTCACAATAGGCTTTGCAAAGTGAATGATCTAGGCAGTGAAAAAGGAGCAGCCATGATGTTGAGGTGCTTTACCTCAGATGTCACATTCTTTTTTCATTTGAGGAAATGTTTTTATCTCTCTATCACTGCCATAATAGCAGTTCCCTAACGAAAGACCTTTTGTTGATAGCTGCCTTAGAGTCTACACAGAGTTGGCTATAACAAATAATATAACAAAATTCAGTCCTAAGCAATCAGTCAGTCCTAATTAAAGTGATTAAATTAACCCGTTTTTACTTTATTTTTTAAATAAAAATTTGTGCATAGTTTTGCAGAGTCATGAGTTGAGTTTTGCTTTGGCATATTCTTATCATAATGTTTTATTTATTTATTTATTTATTTATTTATTTATTTTGTGGAAAGTGCCTTTGTATAACAGAGACTGTTGTAGGCATAGCTGCCATTTACTAAAAATTTAATATGCTGGGCATTATGCTGGGTGTCTTCCATGTATTATTGCTTATTTTCTAACAACTCCATAAAGTAAGTATTATTTCCTTTGTTTAATAATGAAAAATCTCCAGGAAAAGTTAGGTAACCAGTATAAATCTAGAGAAATAATAAACAGGTCTGGCCAAATAGAAATAGAGAGAAATAGAAATAGATTTACAGGTATATGGAAAAAAATTTTTTTCAAACTATAAACAACAACAATAATAATAGCCTAAATATATTAAGTTCCAATTAAGTGACATGCAATATTCTAACTGATATTATTTTATAATTAGAATTTATTTGATATCAACATAATTTTGGTGAGATGATTGATCATCTGATTTTTAGAAAATACTCTTCCTAATTATAACTTGGAATATCATAACAGCTTATGCTTTTCTTTCTCAACATCTACACTCTACACTGGGAGCAGGTATCACAACTAGATATAGTCTATGTAGTTTCTAGGTGTAATACAGTCAATCTGCCAAGAGAAAATGAGTTCATTAGAGTCTGGCTTATGTTAACCAAAACAACTAGGAGAGCACAGTATCCTTTTGATTTGAAACAGAAGGTATCATTTAAAGATCTTCTAAAAGTGTTAAAGTTCATTATCCAGGCACCAATTTTTATACTCTCAGAGTCCTAGAGAAATTCAGTATATCTACAGGAGATTTTCTTAGGAATATAAAAAGCTTTTCGCATCTTCACTATACCCATGGCCCACTGAATTCAGAAATACTAAATGGAAAATTTCAAAGATATATAATGAATAACCTTTAAATAAATTTTACTACAGTGTATGCTATAATTGTTTTGCTGTATTTTTAGTGAATGTTGTTAATCTTACTCTCAATTGCAAATTAAATATTATCATAAGTATACGGTTATAAGAGGTCATAGTATTTATAAAGGTTTATACCATCTGTGGTTTCATAAACCCAGTAAGGCGAGACTACTGTATTGGTTTAGTAACATGACTTATCTGTTGTTTTCTATTAATACCCATCCAGTGTTAAAGAATGAATTAAATAATGATTCATTATTCTTGAAAAATGTGCTCTAAAAATCTGTAATGATTCTCAGGTCATCTTTTAAAGTTATATTTCCAAATTTAACAAATGCTGTATTTGGGAATGTTAATTCTTCAAAATCTTATACTAAAAGAGACAGATGCAGATACGAGGAGAGATTTTACATAAAATATAAATCATGATTAATTTTAACTGAGTGACTACTTTGCCTCATACCACGTAAAGACCTGGCCTCCTTGTGTGTTGCAGTATAGAACTCTGAACTCATGCAGGATTTCATTTCTTGATGTTCAGACAATTTGGGGCGTGTGGCCATCAAATAGTGCTGAAAGTGTATGTGTGTGTGTGTGTGTGTGTGTGTGTGTGTGTGTGTAAAAAGAAGTGCAGCAGCTAAAAATCTATATTGGTAAAACTGTAATGAGGAAGAGCTAATGCCATCTGTTGTCACTTAAATAAGTTAAAAGGCCTTTTGATGATTCCTTGACCGGCTGAAAGCCAAGACCCAGTTGCTTACTACCTTTGATGTTCTATTTACACATCTACTGGATTCATATAATATTTTATTCTCAACAATATCTTACTGTTTCCTTCAGCCAAAGACTATAAGAAGCATAGCATTTATTAAAGAAGGCTGGGTTAATTTGCTAATTAAAAAGGATTAGACAGCACACAATGTGAGATGCTGTGGCATCTCAGCAAAAGGGTTTTGGGCAAGGATGACAGTGACTTATACTAGGTAAGGAGGATTTTGTAAATGTCTTACA